AAATCCTTTTATTTTTGAAAAAAAAATGAAGTATGCAGGTTATATGTAATACATCTTAAGATGACAGATGTTATGTTGTTGAAGTAAGTATGAGTAGACAACAAAGTATTGCGATGGTAAATTCGTACTAAGTTGTAGAATCACCTGTTTAGTTCAGCAGGATTTGAACCTGTTCCAAGTATTTATATAGTTTATTATAACAATTGGTAAAATTCCATTGAGAAGCCTCATACTCCTAATCTATACTACCCATTCCTTAAAAATAACTAACAAAACCTGTTTGATGCCGTTCACTAGTATTTCATAAAACATATAATGTCAATTTAAAATTTATCACAAATTGAAACTAAGTAAAACTAGCTAACTCGTATGCAAATCGCTTATATTATATAAAAAAAAAACAATGTTATGTAATGATAACCACACTGAAAATGTGATATGTTGGGCTTGGACAAACATCCTGTCAGTCTCCAACATGCTGTTAAGTCTATTATCTAATTGTTATTTAAATTGACAACATAATAAACACAGACTAATCTGCAGCATGCCACCAACATAAAGGTGCAGAAGGAAAACACGACATCTTCATGGAGGCTAACTTATATCTTTACACTTAACTGTTAAAATATTGACCACTTTTCACACAACAACGTATCTACTCTTATAATGATTCGGTTTTAAAAATCTTTGTACAAATAAATCTACAGTTCTACTGGACTGAATTGATCAATTAATGGGTCGTTGGAAAGCTCACTCCCTGTACATTTGCAAAATTATAATATTGTTTAGATTTACGGTGGAAATTAAAGAAAAACATGTTTTCCATAAGAAATACTGTACATATATTGGAAATGGGGTATACCAAATTCTTTATTTTGAGGCAAGTTTTGGCAGCCTTTATTGAGTATTTTCAATTTTTTTTTTATGATGTATTTTTGAAATAGTAATTTGTAGGAAATTCTATTTATTCTCTTTCAGAATATCAAAGAGTCAGTCTCAAAGAGTTTCAGAATATCACTTTGGTCGGTTTCCTCGCCATTTAAAAGTTATTTTCAAAAGGCTAAGCAACCTCCAAATTTATAGTGGTGAGAAAATACTTAATCAGAGATATTTTTTCAACGTGTTATACTACTATATCTACAGTTCTACTGGATCGATTTTATTAACCACAGTAATAGGTCAATTTTGAAGCTTAATCCGTGTAGATTTGCAAATAATTATGAAAGTTCGATTTTCTGTTAGATGTATGGTAGTAAGGGGTTTGCTGGTATGCATCATTTGATCATATGGAACACGTGTCAATAATATAACAGCTGATTGGTGTATTGTTATTTCCTTGAGATTTTGTTGTTTACACTCTGTCGTTTACCATTTGCATTTGTGGTTAAAGTGTGTTCCTTGTGTTATGTGAGTGTTTCTAAAGTTATGTGCTTAATATGTACTGTACTGTACTGTAATTAATAATTACCTTAATATACTACGTACAGCTTTAATACACTAGGTAAAATCTGTGTTTTGTTGTCCTTCATTACACGTTAACGTAGGCATGTACACACATGCATCGGTAGCACAAATATTTTCGTTGCATTTTATTAGGTTTAACTTTTTTAAATGTGTTATCGAATAGAGTGATTTTTTTCTCTTGAAAAATAACGATTCCCCAATTAAAAACCTACTGCATCATAATCATATTAGTTAATCGAATTGTATACTTTAATGTCATTTCATCAGTAGTTCTAAATGTGAAAAACGAATTATTTCAACATTTTTCTTATCAAGTTAAAGCACAAGCACTAAATGTACCTTTCCAATTGTACATATCAAGTGAGCGGTGGCAGGCCAGCTGGTAGGTTCTCTGCGGTTATGGGTAGACCCACAGGCTAGTGTAGGCATTTATTTACTCTAGCTTTACTGTGAACTATTTTTGAATATCTACAGCTCAAAAACTGACTTTCCTCATTCCTCATTAGTTTGAATGGAAAGCTATACCAATATTGATTTTCCTCACTTCCGTTTTGTTCTAACAGTGGTTATAACAAGTTTTGTATGATTATTTCATAAATTTTTAGTTAGAATTTTTCGTGTTGGATTATAGGAATATGATCGATAAAATGTGTCTTTAAACAATATCCTATATATTTACACTTATAATGAAACATTTACAATTTGGTTAAATGTGGAGGCGTTATATTCGCCGTTGGGCTAATGACGAAGGCTAATGATTACAGTTTAGGTGTATATTTATTGGATAGTGTTGAAATAAGTATCTTATATATTATGCCAATCTCATTATACAATAATGTATACAATCTGCTAGAATATACTGTATACAAAACCAGAGTTGACACTGATTTTAATATACACATAATCTTAAAGATGGTTTAAGGGCTATTTATGCCAGTACCTAAATTTTATTTGTTTCTAGAGTAACACACAAATAATTATTTCATCACCCACATTTTCAATATTAGGTGTTTTTACAGTATTTTATTGCAGGCTAATAATAATTATTTACTGTTTCTTAAGCGTTTGATTTCAAAAGATGTATCACTATATCAATACTTACTAGTATTAGACTCCCTCTTTAACTCTTTTTTTTTATTTGAGTGATTTTCATGCTTCTTCTAAATCAATATAATATTTGTGGGCGAGTTTCAGATAATAAAAGGTAATCTATTTCCAATGGCTTTTTAAAGAATTTAAATTTACTACAATATATATTTTGTATCTTTACATTCATCTTGATGTCTGCATATGGGTCCATTATAAATATTTCACAGCTTAAAAATTAAGACGCTTTGGACCAAACATTTGGACGCATTCGTTGCTACAATTAGAAATAAGTGAAACAATAACACAACAGTACATTATTTAAATTCACAATCAACTGTAGGTATGACTTCTACCGTACCCTTTCAAAACAAATCACCTGTTCTGCTATATCTCAAGCAATGTTTCCATTGTGTTTTAAATAGATGTATAAAGTAATTAAGCCAATCTCGCCTACAACAGTACAGTTTAATCAGTTTTTCAGATAGATTCTGAAAGTCTAATTACTCAGAAGCTAATTTGTAAGTTAAAAATAGCTAATCTTCATTAATTAACCTGACGAGCGAAGTGAGTATATTGGTTCAAAGGAAACAGTCAGGAAAATAAATTAGCCATTCACATGCAAAGGGCGATATTTATTTTCAGATGTTACTACACCGTGCCCCACACAATCTAATCAGAGAAAATAGTAAACTATTGTTGCTCAAATAAGTTTTGAAATTAATAATGGAATATTTTCATGCATTATTCATGAGGTACATATTGGAAATCTGTTTGAATCGTTTAATTTTAGTGTAGTTATGATTTTAAAAAGTGGTTTACAATTTTCAAATGATATGATGTAATTAAAGTTATTTTTGCATCGTGAAATCAAATGCTAGACATAATACTATTTTTCTAACTAATAAAATAAATACACCCCTATCTAACCTCATGCCAGCTCTAGATTATTGTTTTACCTTAAAAGATTTATCCCCATGGTGTGTACCCCTGTAACCTATACTAGCTTATTATTATTAACATTCTAGCATTAATTGCCAATGTAGCATTTTAGTCACAAACCACATACGCTTCTTCCAACTCAACGTTCGTGTGTAATAATAAGGTAAAATAATTGTTCAATCTAACACTGCATTAACATCGGTAGACCTTTTAAAAGGTACACTTTATATAATATATATTACATGTTTTTGTTCGTTAATTTCAAAGATTGCAGCACTTATGTTTAAAGATACACAAGTAGTTACTAGTATTTGGAACCAGTGATTACATGAGTTGACAAACACGGCACTTGATTGATTACTTGCTTCTTCAATTTTGTTACATTTATTATTTTGTGAATATTTACACACAGAGAGTACAGCATTGACTAACAAATCACATAACAGTACAACTGGGATAACCAGAGATAGACTATAAATAAATAAAACTGATTTTTAAACTATTAAAACTAATAAATAACGACAGTGTTTCTTCGGCAAATAGGATAGAAATAAAATCTATTCAACCAAAAGAAATATTAATGTAATAATCCGGAAATATTTACCGTTTCATAACATATCATGAAATGCAAGACAATGGACAATGAAATAAAAAATATAATTAACTCCTAACAATAATAAAACATAACACGGGAAAGGGTTTTAATATGGATAAACGAAACATAATGGTAAGAGAAAAATAAATGCAGAGATATGAGATTAGCATGAAATTATCCAAGCGAATGATATTTTTTTACATTATTATAAAATTCAACAGTAGGCCTATATGATATTTTTCTGAATAAAAAATAGCTCATGTTAATAGGTGATATAAATATTAGGCTATATAGTCTGAATAAGTAATATGAAGAACTATACACATCGGATGAACAATGAAGCAATGAAGTCTTTCTTCGTCAAAACATGCAGTACAGTATATACTTGCCTGACAGATGGGTTCATTAACTAACAGTCTGTAGCCGTAGCACTGCGGTCCAACGCCTTGCAGCTACCGGGGCGACGGATATTACTTGTAACAGGAAGTTAATATAAAGATGCCAGGAACGACTATATAATCGATCTCATCCTCATCTATCTATCGCTCTTCAAATATTTCTTTTTTGCTTACGATATATTTCTAAAGGGAAATTAATGAGCCGGACAACTTTATAGAAGGCCACGCCTCAAACGTAAATAATAATGTCAAAATCGAGCGGAATTATATTTCAGTCGGAGCGAAGAGTCGATTACCGCTCTAGCGTGGAGGGGGTAGGGGTAAATGGAGGGGGAAGGGCGTTGCTGGGAGAGGCGGGCCCCGGGCGGAGCTTATCCCGACCCCGCTAATATAGACGCAAGCATCCAGTCCGGGCGGTGGTGGGGGTGTCGAGGAAGAGGGCGGGGACCAAAAAGGACACCACAGATTTTTGAAGTGAAGTCTTAGTTTAAGCTGTCACTTTGAAAACGCGGCTGTGGAAGTGACACGGCTGTCTCGGTGCGGATACCCGTATAACTTCATCGCGGTGTGCGAGGCGTCGAGCGTCGAGGCAGTGTGCGAAGTAGAGAGTAAAGACTCGGAGAGCGACAGCGCCGCACTGCGACTGTAGCGCGTACTAGCGTCGTGTGTGGTCCAGACAGTGAGACAGTAGTACAAGCTGAGCAGCGAGACACAATGATACTGTGATATGGCGTTAGAAACGGAACGGTGCAACCCTAGTGACGCGGCCAGCCCGGGCCCGACTAGTGAGGCTCATCGGAGACCGGAGGGCAGCCGCGCAGTGACCGACACTTGTAAACTCAAGTCAGCCTTCCATCAGATCGCGGCCCTCTCCAGGAGTGAGAGTCCTCCGGGCAGCGACCGCTCGTCCTTCTTCAGCCGGAGCCCCACGGACACTCGACCCTTCGACAGACCATCTTTCTGTACTAGGAGGCCAGACGACACCGTCAGCTCACCCCCGTCTGACGAGAGCTGCTCTAACCACTCTACGACTCGCCCCAGTCCTAGCAGCAAGCCGGGGTACCCTGACTCAACACCTCCCTCTAGCCCACCAGAGGAACGTCGCAACAGTCTCCTGTACCACCCCGACATGGCGAGTCTGTCTCTGGTGTACGGCCTGGGGGTGATCCCTAACAGGTTCCCGATGGGTCTACACGTGCCTGCTGTGTATCCCGAGGTAGGACTCACGCGGACACCAGCCCTGCTACCCACCGATTCTCTGGGAGTGTTCGTCGGAAGACCCACGGTGCCAGAGGTCATGGACATCAGACTACTCAGCTCCGCCAAGCCGGCCGTCGCCCCCGGGGTGTCCGGCACTTCCTGTTCCCTCAACTGCTGCAGGTCTCCGTCTCCCAGGATGCTCAGTAGGACGCCGTCTCCTCAGAGGTCTCCGGGGCCGTCGTCACTCACCTTCTCCGTAGACAATATCCTACGGCCGGACTTCGGGAGGTGTCCCAAGGCGCAGGCCCAGCAGCTGCGGCGAGCCAAGGTACCGGAGCCGAAGTTGTCTGAGGACGTCGTACCTGTCTCCTCCAAGAGGCCGATCCCCATCGCTGACAAGCCTGAGGTGCCGAGTGTAGGGGAGGACAAGGACGCTAACGGACAAGTGTGGCCGGCTTGGGTCTACTGCACCCGCTACTCGGACAGACCTTCCTCAGGTAGGCACTGCATACTGTAATCATAATGATAGATACGGTACAGAGAGCCACCCTCAGTGGACGGCGGTAGAGGCCGCTGGTGCAGGCCAGATAACAGCTGATAACATGTTATGTCCAGAATCGCGAGGTCAACAAACAGGTGATTTATTAGTTAAAGCTTCGCTTCAAAATAGGAATACAACAATGAGCCCTATTTTAAGTAATTGAAGCTGATGCTAACTACCTGAAACGCGATGAGATATAAAACAACTGAAGTTTTTTTTAAATACTGTAATCGTTTAACTCGGAAAATACATGTAGCTATGTTCCCACCACCAATGAAAGTCGACACAGCATGGGTCAGTAATGATATACCCATTTGTGTCCACGAGAACCTTTAGGATAGAAATAAAATAAAAACATATCGTATAAATACGTACATTATATCTTCCAGCGAATCTCAACACACATCGAATAACAATTACTGTTGTTTATATTATGACGTCAAGATATTAAAATAATGCAATAAAAGACCGTCATAACAGTCCATACTAATAAAAGACCTTACTTCAAAAAAGTCTAATATCTTAATTAATTTAAAGGTAAGGCCTTAAACAGTAAATGTACTGTATTCTTTTTACAGTACATCATTCTTCTTTATGATTTATTTTGAAATTATTTTCATCATTGAGTTTATTTCAGTAGTTATTTAGTATAAAAAAGGTATTAGGAATGAGGTTTGATTAGACCACTTTGCAAAAATTAATTTGGATCCAATATTGGTTTACCACGGATTAGAAAAATAAAGTATGGCCATGAAAATGTATTGTTGAATTTTATTTACATCATGGGCGTATACTAATAGTCTATCTTTTAAATAACATATGACATGTATTTAATCATTAAATTAACCATCATCACTCAAACTATCATAACCAATCTCATTTTTTAGAAGTTGCATTTGAGTTGAGTAATTAAATATTAACAATTAACTGTCATTTTGACAATCAAGATAAGTAAATTAATTGATCTGTTAGTACGAAACGCTGAGTGCTGATTATAACCTATACCTGACCTTGATAAAATAAAGCTTCGTTGTTCAATAGATCGTTATTCTACTAATTAATGTTACAATCCAAATCAATTAGACCACTTAGACGGTTGATTCTAATTAAACAACAATCGGTTCTACAGTAGTTTTATATCAATTATGATAGACTAAGTTCCATTGTTTTTACACATGAATAAAAATATTCAATTAATAGTGCAACATGATATGAACTGTATGAATTACAGTAAACGTATTGTATTTTTTTCATTATACTTATCATAAGGCCGCTGGTTTTTTTTTCTATTTCGTTCTATTAAGTTTAATATTAACAAACTTATGCATCAACGCCATTGTTATATTGATCACAGTTTATCAATAGGTAATTGAAGTGATTTTGTGAATGCTATTTAAGTTTTTATATAATTTTATCTCAAATATTTCTATCAAAATATTTTTTTGTATTTGTTTATATTGTAAAGAATTATAGAATGTATTTCATAGTATACGTTTTTCTCTTTATTTCATACAAATCTGGGTGATACTTTTAACACGATATCCATCCATAGATAGTACAGTATAAATGAATTTTAACAACGAGTAAAAAATATTTTTTTTTTAGTTGACAACACACTATGTAATTCTTTAGTAGGTTAAGGAACTCTAGCGCATACAAATAAGTACCGTATCTTAACTTAAAAATTATCTGCTGTATTCTGTACAAGGGAGATTGAAAAAAATACTGTTTTTCTAAATTAGTACATTTTAATTTGCCTTATTTAAGCTTCTAGCAACACTTTTGAGTTTAGCAACTAAAATATACTTTTTCGAATCGCGCAGAATATTCAATAAAAAAAAAAAATTGTTTTCAAAGTTACTTGCTTGCATTTAGTTTTTAGATATCTTAAAAGTCGCATCGTAAAATACATACACACTTTAAAAACTCACGTGATTTAGGGAATTTACCTGAGGAATAGTTTCCATCATATAATCATAAAAAGAAAGCCATTAGTAGCAAAATGAGAGTTCTTGAAATTGTGATTAAAACGTTGAAATAATAGTTGTTGGTGTTTATATTAGAGTCAGTAATTTCACGGTAGTCATATTTTGTAAATTTACATAACATAAAAATACATCCAATAGTGAATTTCGGCTTTTTTGCAGCCAACAAAATACATATTATTACAAACGTCAGATAGCGTAATATTTGTGAAAAAACAAACAGCTTTATAAGTGATATACCGGTATATAAAATGACAAACCCAAGACGATTTTAGACTACAAAATTAATCCAGAATGACCATACTTCATCGTATAGCCAACTATATATAAAAAAAAAACACAAACAACTGTGCCAATAGATGTAGGCCCTATCTAATACTATACTGAAAATAAACACAAACTAGTGTTAAGAATCCAAAGAAAATTTAAATGAAAAAAATTTAATCATTCCTAGTAAAAGGCCTTATCTAATTTGGTTATACGTATACATATTTATTGGGTTGATTAAGGAGCTTTGTTTATAACATTTTTAATTCATTCACGGTATAGTTTATTTTTCTTTCTTGCAAAAATAATACAAAATACCCGGTTCTAATTGTTAATATTGTTGAACTGGGTACTTACATGTTAGTTTTGTCTAAATGGATCTATGTATAAATCATATTTCTCTTCATAATAATTGCTTATGTCAAAATAGCACGGCAGGAAAAATCAGTAAAACTAATTTATACTGTAGGTTTAATTACTACTGATATTAATATAAGTAAACAGTTTTGCTTTCTTTAAAAGTCAACATTTGTATACAATCTACTTGTAGCATTAAAGAAAACATAAACCGCATAAATAATACACAGAAACCCTTGCAAAATACACAAAACTAATAAACATACTGTTCATAATTCTTTAAAATGTTTACAGATTACATGCACTTTTAAAATAGCATGTATGGCTACTCAAAATGGTTTGTGATGACATCATAAATAACAACCTGCTATAATAAGAATATTAAACTTATATGTATAAAAGTTCATACATTTTATTAATTTGTATTTATTGTTTAAAAGTGCCAAATACTGTTGATTATATAGTAATAGTAACACATCTAAATTGGTAAAATTGCATACACGTTTTTATCCGTAGCACTTAATAGATAGTTTATTTCAAAATAAAACAATTGTCTTGACAGACTATAAAAATTATTGAGCTACAAATAATTTGTTTAATCTCTACGGTGACAGATGTTTACCGTTCATAAACCGGTGACTGAAGCCAAGGAACACATGTTTAAATAAACGTCTTTAAACTCTTTTAAGATCTCATCCAAACGTAGTATTTCAATAATCAAAAAATACGCCCAAAGCTCTAAGGGATGGAGATGCGCAAATTTTTCTTTCTCCAACAAAATGAAGAAATGCGCGCTTCTACGGAGAGTCGCGATCTATGTTAACTCACCACGCCAAAGACGTTTTTTGGATAAGATTTTTATTTCAAATAATTTTACTAGTGGTCTGTATCATTAACGATATTTAACCAAAATTCAGACAGTCAAATCACATATTTAAAGTAAAATATAATAACATTACAATATGAATTTAATATTCATTTGATGAAAGAGGTTTTATGTATTGAAAACTATTAAACATTTAAATAATCACTTTTAATAAACTTAAGATCTATTTACACATAAATCCTAAATTCGATTGGCACTTTAAATATTCTTTCCGAAATTCCATTGCATATTCATGATTTATGTAGGAAATTGACCTACTGTATATGTTTATTGAAAGATGTTAAGTATGATTGTGCGTGTTTACAATAATCTGTTTAGTACAGTTAGTAGAACCCCTCATATCCGGCCTTGGTTTTACCGGTCCTCTGTTTATCCGGCCCCTTCCAGGAAGCCAAAATCAAAATTTTTTTCTCACAGCTTATAGACACTTAGATGCAAGCACTAGTCTTTGTGACTGCTCAAGTCATAAAATAAATTGTTCTCACTATTTATCTGTTTGTTTATACATTTATTTGCTGAGTAACTATACTCAGTTGAGCTAGTAGGCTTAACCTCTGATCAGTTGGTTGATTATTTCCAAAGTGGGTTTAGTACAGTACAGTACGAGTACATTAATTTTTGTATTTCACAAAATCGTTAAGAATGTTGAGTAGAAATGCATGTACCATTTAAGTCCTAATGATCTTTAAGTACAATTTATTGTCATTTTTACTTCCATTTAATATGTTTTGTTACCTGGAATCATCATATTTGTACATTCATTACTTAATGACTTTAACCTACAAATATTTTTTTCCCTTTTTACAAACATGTTTATTTTTCTAAAAATGATCCCAGAACAGAATTAAATGATACTTTTGATTGCATATATATGATTACCTATTATTATTAGGTATGAATTGTCATTTTCATAGTAGGTTGGTTTATCCGGCCAAATTGTTATCCGGTCAGGGGCTTGGTCCCGTGGTGGCCGGATATGAGGGGTTCTACTGTAATTGCTAGATCCTTTAATCAACACATTTTCCTTATCCAGGTCTTTAGTATAAGCGCAAGTAGTCATTTATTTTATATTATATCACACCAGTAGTGCGAATACAAAAAAACATCCTTATTATGATTTAAATAAATGGGTGCACAATGAATAAAATTTTGTTACAAATACCAATACTTTGGTTAACTTTATTGACAACTTGGACCAAATTATAAGAAAATAGCTGACAAGAAATGGATTATTATTAATTCAACACCTTCCATGAAATTAGGTGAAAATTATGTCAATTTTACTCCCACTGATGAAAATGTCTATTTAATTTTGTAGCACGCCATAATTATAGAAATAGTTTACAGTGATTGTTTTTTTGGAAACCCTTCCAAATTATTATGTAACGCTGACCTAAAAACGTTCAAAGCCAAAATCGGATTTGATAAACAAACCATCTAAATTCCTTCGTTTTTTTATTG